GTTTACCAGACAAGGTAGTCTTCGCGACCATGAATATCGGACTTCTTGGGGTCGATTACCGGGAGTAAAATCTTTTTCCGGATAATCTACGTCAATTTTGCCACCAAAAGGAAATTATGGAGGGGTCGACTGTCCTCCTTGTTCAGGGATCATTTATGGGCCTAAAAAGGACCGATTTTGGATTTTTAGGGGTCAAATTCATGTAAAATTTTCTGTACTTTTCAATTTTAATGCAATCGAATCGCAATTCTATCGGGAACCCCGACTTTCAGTATCGCAACCCCCCCCCCTTCTTTTACACGCCAGGGGGGACTGGGAGGGTTTTGGGACCATGTAATTCGGATTTCTTGAGGTCAATTTCCTACACAACCCCGCGGTCCCTAACTTCTTGTGACCTGAACCAACCGAGGAAAAGGCCTGGTGCAGGTGATCTGGGATACCCTGTAATTCAGCTTTTGAACATTAAAACAAAAAAAAAACTGCTTTTAGGCAAAATTTTTGAAACTAAACGTTTAGGCTTGAGGAAATTTTTGGTAGATGTTCAAATTAGATACAACAATAAAGAAGCAAACAGAAATTAACTTTGGGCAGAAGTTTAGGGAGGAAAACCCTTTGAAATCTGAAATGAGTTTGAGTGCTTAGTGGGAAAGGCAGACATTGAACAATTTAGACAACGTCTGTTGTGACTAGCCGTGGGTTCTGCTGGCAGTTTTCAAAAATAAATCTTTTAATTGCAACTGATGCTTGGAGTACAAACCAAACTAACTGTGAGAATGAAGAAATGAGTTTCATCTTCAGAAGATGGGGTGACTCACCTTGACATTAGGGTCCGCTGTTAAAGAGGAATCTAACTGTTGCAGTTTAGCCATTAACTGATTGTGATCGTACATCTCTTTTTCACTGATAACGACTTGATTACTTGCACTGTTCGACTGTTCAATCAACTCCTAGAAAAAATATAAAATAAAATAAGTTACTTAGTATATTATGTAGACAAAATTTTGTTCCTTTGAAAAGAAACAAATACAGTGGCTTGATGATCAGGATTCTGTTACTCTGAAACTGCAGTGGAACTCCAGACTAAGTGCTAGGTTCTGGTGATGAGTGTTGAGTTCAGATTTGTGTGCATTTTTGCACTTCATCCAGAATTGAAAACTATTTTTCTCTATTTAATCAGAATTTTGTGAAGAATTGAGTTTTCCCAGATAACCAGTTATCACTGTAAAATTTGATATTCCGGAAGATCCTGATAAAATAGAGACAAATATTTTTCATTTATGGACTTGGCGCAGAAAAAAGAAGAAAAAAAATTAGGAATGCCTATCACGTGTTGAGCTTTTCTTCAATGGCTTACTTATGTGAAACTCAACACCTTCATTTACCAGTCTTAAACCTTATCAGAATGTTTCACTACTGACAGGAAGGGTAAAAACAGTTTTGAAGGTATTTTATAGAGATGATCTACCTCTTATTTGCTGTTGAAGCCGAATGTGATGTCAATTTTTTCCCAATAAACATCAATTTCTTGAAAAATTGATTTTACTAAAAAGAGGTGTTCTTCAATGTTGAAATACATTCGAGGAAGACTTGTCTATCAGCACAAGTTAATATTAGGGCAGTGCGAATATTCAAAATTCTCGAATTAGCCGAGTTGGAATATTTTTCGTGATATTCGATTCAAACTTGAACTTAGAATCCACGAATAATTGAATTATTCAACCACATTGACAAAAGGACTCCGCACACCTCTTATGAGAAGCTGCACCATGAAGGAACGTTAATTTATTTATGTCATTCGATTCTCCTCAAGATACTGATCATAAGTTAAAATTGCGCCAACTTTCTAGGATGCACCGTTTTCGCAAAAAAACCGCCGAGAAGATTCAATTATTCGGCGATAAAAAGCCAGAAAGATTCCTCATTTCAGTACTGGACTGACAAGCGGCTGAGTGTCAGTGAACGTCAAACGGACGCGTCCAGAGCGGGAGGAGGGGGATAGCCCTAAAGTCGGCAGGTACAGATTAGAAGACGGACACGCGCTACGTTTTTTCCTTATTTACATCGCGCCTGTTCTCAAATGTTTTGTTCTCTTTTATTCATTGTCGCCGAAAAATTTAATCTTCTCGGCGGTTTTTTTGCGAAAACGGTGTATCGAAGAAAGTTGGCGCAATAATGACTTTCGATCAGCATCTTGAGGAGAATCAAATGACAAAAATAAATTAACGTTTCTTAATAGTGCAGCTTCCCATAAGAGGTGTGCAGGGTCCTTTCCAATATCTAAAAAAAAGACCGAATATTCGTACATCTGGCCATATTGATGACATGCTAGTAGGAACTCCATCCGGCGCACAGTCCAAACTATTTGTTTTGAGGTTAGGTTAATAAAGGCCAACGTTTCATTGGTTCATCCAGCGCACGACGCTTGCACCAGATGGGCCAATTCAAAATTTGCACCACTTGAGTTCCACCTCGTACGTCATCAACATGGCACACAAATGGGCGAATGTACTAATCACCATAACCAATCCTCCTCCGCCTCGCATGGAACCCTGGTCTTTACAATGTTGCTAAACTGTCTTTCCGAAGATCAGCATTGATGTGAAGTAAAATCGAATAAAATGGATTTTCAGATGGTGAGCAGCAGTTTTACAGTTCCGCACAGTTCAATTGATTGCTGGTCTTAAATTGAAAGAAACAATTTTCTCTCCTTTCTTTTCTTTCCCCAGCAAGTCAAAATACAGGGTGATACAAAAGATCCTTACACCCCCTCTAACTTTTAACCTAATTGAGGTAAAGATTTGAAACTTGGGGGATGTCCCTAGGTCAAAGGAAGCTACTTTTTGACCACCCAAAAATTTTCAGGGGGGCCCCCCTTGGGGGAGGACGAACCCCAACTTTTGATTTTCAAATGGGAAGACCCCCTTTAAGATAGCTCGTTCGAAAGAGCATAAAAAAAGAAAAACTTTTCGCGCATACCCGAGGTCAATATCTCAAACCGTTTCAAAATGGCAGCCGGTTAAAATTCAAAATGGCAGAAAATTCACACGGGCTATTTGTCGATGGATTTTCGCGAAAATCGGTAGCAAGGGGTATTACGACACGAGAAAAACAAATTTGACGTTAGATTTTCAAAAAAACCAAAATTTCCAAATTGGCCGAAAATTTGTGTTTTAAGAAATCTAAGTTCAAATGTGTTAATCTTATGCCAAAATACCCCAAAATTCCAAATTTTAGGCAAATCCATCAGCAAAAAACCGAGGTGGCAATTTTCGGCCATTTTGAACTTTAACCGGCGACTATTTTGGAATTTTCGGTTTTTTTTTTAAAATCTAACGTCAAATTCGTTTTTCTCGTATCAAAATACCTCTACTACAGACCGATTTTCGCGCAAATCCATCGACAAATAACCCGTGTGAATTTTCGGCCATTTTGAACTTTAACCGGCCGCCATTTTGAAACGGTTTGAGATATTGACTTCGAGAATGCGCCAAAAGTTTTCCTTTTTTATGCTCTTTCAAACGAGCTATCACAAAGGGGCTCTTCTCATTTGAAAATTAAAAGTTGGGGTCCGTTGCCCCCCCCCCCCAAGGGGGTCCCCCTGAAAATTTTAGGGGGCCAAAAAGTAGCTTCCTTTGACCTAGGAACATCCCCCAAGTTTCAAATCTTTACCTCAATTACGTAAAAAGTTAAAGGGGGTGGAAGGGACTTTAGGATCACCCTGTATATGCAAAACCATTTAATAATTTAATGAATTGATTAATTCTTGATCTTTTTGTCTATAATGGTAATTTCTTCATTCAAAATTTGAATGTTAAGAAAAAAAAATGATTCATTCGATTTTTATTTCCACCAATACAGAGGTTGGTTTTGGTCAAAAGTAGGTAAAAAGTAAAAAATCTTCAATTTGAATTCGAAACTTTTTCAAAATATTCGATTTGATATATAAAAAAACCATAATTGCACAGCCCTAGTTAGTATTATCCGATTTGGCTGAAACTTGGCAGGATTGTTTTTTTTTGTTTTTTGTTTGTGTGGTGTTTTTTTTTTTTTTAATCAAAAATACCAACATCATGGGGTACGTCCCAAGAAATTCCCATAAAAAATTCAATTACCGTTATGGAATATAGTCGTAGAAAAAAAAGAGACCTAAAAACAAATTCGGTTTTCTGTGAAATCTGGAATATCAAAGTTTTACTGTAGATCTTTCAGGTGGCAGGGTGAATTTCATACAATGTGTGGTAAGAAGATATGTGTTTATAATGAGTGCTAACCTGAACTTGATCATTGATCTGATCAAAGTGTTTCACGCGGAGGTTGTAATTTGGGTCTTGACTTTGCACATGTGATTTAAAGCCGATCTGAAGGCCTGTTTTAATACCAGCCAGAAACCCGGCACGCTTTGACAGCTGTGCAGCAACTAATAGCTGCTGCTGTTTACGACTATTTTTACAATCTTTTTTTGAAACCGGTTTTGCTTTAGGACGATCACTGATGGCTGTTGATTGCTGAAACAGAAAATTGATATTAGTCTCGGATTATGGCACTGAGAATTAGATTTTCCTCAAAAACTATCATGAAGTGATTGCTTCCACCAAATATATTAGTAACGCAATGATTCATATTTAATTTAGATGATAGCTCAAGAAGTTTCCTATTTAAATTCAAGCAAATACAGCTGGAATTGTAGGCTGATGATTTTCATTTTTCATTTACTTGCTTACACATTAAGATAATTTGAAGGAAGACTTCTGGATAAAGCCAATTTTAAATGATGACACACCTGTAATTCATCCACAATCTGCTGACGGTGAAACAATTGCTGTTCAATGGTGACATTCATCTTACTGCTATTTTTATCTACTACAGTGTACTCATTCTTCTTACTTAAATCACCTGAATTCATACTGCAAGACTGAAAAAAGAAATGAGGATTTTCAGAGAAAAAGCATGAAAACTCGAACTTATAAAAATTTCTGCACCATAAAAATCAAAGGAATTAGGCTCCGGGCTATGTTCTCGCACATAAATTGTTCCAAAAATAATGGAATGAATTCTTGAGCAAGTGGACAATTAAAGGTAACAAAATACAGCTTGTGCACCCATTAAGAGTCACTAATAGAGACCCCAGAAATTCGTTCGCGCAATTCGCGCGAATTTTCAAAAAGTCGTTGTGAAGCACTTGGACCAAGCTCAGAGGCATATTGGAGTTCCGTTGATTTCGCATATGTAATCGAGAATTTCGCTAGTTTCGGCATTTGATGCGAATTCTAACGCAAATTCGCCAGTTTAAACCACGAATTCGGGAATTTCGACGAAATTTGCGCTGTTGCTGGAAAATTCGCGGAAAAATAATCTTAATCGTGTTAGGAGCTGCCGATCATTGGATCATGGGGAACTTCGTGAAATTCTGGTTTTTGTCGTTGACCAATCGTAGATTGGTGCTTCATTTCGCAGTAAACCACTGGCACTGCCAACCACGTTTTTCAAATTTAAAATAAGAGGCGAAACGAAAACGCACATTTTTAGCAAGAATTTGGCAGTTACTAGCGAGAATTTTAGAATTTTCGTTGAGAATTTTTGAATTCCCAAAGGGAATTTTAGGATTTTCAGCAAGAATTTGAGAAATGCGGTAAAATTTTAGCAAAAATTTGGCACTTATGGCGAGAATTTTGGGACTTTAAGCCAGAATTTGGGTCATTATAAATCACGAGAAAATGGGGTCTCTAGCTCACTCATTATCTTGAAATCAAGCCCTTGAGGAGGTTGTTCCAATTATCCTTCATTTAGCCACAATTCTTGAATTAAATGTTACGGAGTATTCAGAGATTAGATGAAGCCCTTTTCCAGTATTTTTTGCCCCCTCCCCCTTCCAACCCCCCTGTATTGCCTTCATAACGTTGATCGCTATCCTTGAACACGTAAAAACAAAATGGCGCCACATTACCATCTGTTCCATGCAAGCTTCCTGTCTTAATTTTCCATGAACGGCTAAATTAAACCAAAATTCATAAATTTGACAATGAAAATATCGAGTGCAAGGGTCAGGTATCAAGAAAAAATTCCGGAAAAATTAGGGAATAATTTTCTCATCAGATGGTAACTTTTCTCCCCACTCATTTGTGCCTTTCAAAAATGATATATTTTGTAATGCACTCCACTAGTTTTTCCCAAGATCACTGTTAGGTGCAGATTTTATTTATCCATCAACTTTTAGAAATAATCATAATGAAAAGACAAGTACTGAGAAATTTAAGTCTAGCGATATTGTACAGCAAATTTTAAAGGGATATTTTCTCTGACATTGTAGAAAATATTGAGAAAAAGCAAGAAAAAAACAACAATGATTCAGGGCTTCAAACAAGACCCTCTCTAGGGCAAGGTAATTTTATTTTGCAAATGAAAGATGTATTAACTTACTTGATTTTCAAGGACACTTTCATTGGACGAATCAACAAAACATTTCCTAGAAAAAGACTTCTGCCCTTGAGTCAACATATTATTGCTGCCACTGCTAGGAGAATTGTTACTACGGAGGTGGAGATTGTTATTGTTGTTGTTGCTACTATTATTACTATTACTACTGTTGTTGTTGTTGTTGTTGTTGTTGTTGTTGTTGTTGTTGTTGTTGTTGTTGTTGTTGTTGTTGTTGTTGTTGTTGTTGCTGCTGCTGCTGCTGCTGCTGCTATTGTTGTTATTATTGCTACTAATTTTCAAAGTTGGAGTCAATCGATCTGAAGGAAACAATAGAGAAAAATATAAACATCCATATAGAAACTGGTTGGTGAATTATTCATTACACTTGAGAAAAAAAGATTTCAGCTCTTTTTTTTTCGAAAATAAGGCCAAGTCGATCTTTGGACAGGATGGATATTCTTGGTTTTTTTTGCGAATTCTTGCACTTAGGACCTCTGTTGGGCATCTGTGTGCAGGAATCTTATGATTTATTGAATCATTAGACTTTACTGTACAGAAAGGGGAGATCAAAAGGATCAAACAAATTAAATGTCATATCTAGGGTACTTCTTGTGTATTTGTGGCTGCTAAACCTGAACTAGATCTTCATGACATTGTATTGCTGGTCACTTTTCTAAAAACGTGATTTTTTCATGGGAAAAATCATTGTTTTTCCATTACACTCGTTTTCCGGCATGAAAAGTTATTTTTAAGAAAATGGCACAAGCTATAACCAAATGCAAGCCATTTTTGGATTCAGCAGCCGAAAATAATTGTAAAAGGCCTAGGATTTAAGGAGGACGGATTTGAAGTGAATGCTCATATTCACAGTATGATGATCAAAGTGTTAAGCGTTTATCTAAGCAAACCTACACTAATTTTCAGAAACTTGCCTGAAAAATTGCTTACCTTGACATTCATCAATCATTGCATGGCAAATTTTACGCTTACCAAGTTACTCATGAACAATCATTGGTCAAAAAATAGCATAGATCTGTGAATAACAGTTTGGGCAATGTGCGGGCAGGGGTGTGTTTGACAGTATTTCAGGGTTTTACAGTTTTGGGACTTTAAAACCTGACATACTAAAAATACCGGCGAATTTGTCAATAAAATTCTTTAACAACATACCAATGGCAGCAGACTTTTTGCCTAGCATCTCCTCTGTTATTACTGTCTGATGAGATTGAGCAGGGAGTTGGAGCTGATTAAGAATTTGCAACTGCGCCACTGAAGTAGAAAGCTGTGAATCATTATCGTCTTGTAACAATTGTTGAGGGATTGTCGATGAAGGTGAGGGTAAATGTGTCAATGGCTGGAGGGGCATCTGAATTTGCGTTTGCGTTGACTGCTCATTATGGACGAATGTTTGCAGTGGAAGTTGCGGTTGAGTTTGTAACTGTGGGATATGGATTTGAGCTTGCGTCTGTGTTTGAGCCGGTACGAAAACTTGCGATGGCTGCGTTTCGGCCTGCGCTTGTGCTTGGAGTTGTTCAGCCTGGAGCTGTGCTTGGTTTGCAACCATTATAGAATGTGGGTAGTCCAGTAACAACTGAACAACACTGACATGGCCTCCTTTTGCAGCTTCTATCAACATAGTCGAGTTGTCCTGTTAAAAAAGATACATGATATTAATTTTCTTCCAGTTTGAAATGCCTCTAAAAGGCGTTTGTGAAAGAGCTCTTCACAAGCAAGTTTAAACCAAGTCTACAAAGCTCCTAAGTGGGAAAATAAGGTTTAAAAGGGTAAATTATGGAGGAGGTTGGGATTGAACTTGCTATCTATGATCAACTTCTTCCTTATTTCTTAGTTACCGAAGTTAATTTTTATACATGAGTGCAAGTTTGCCTGATGACAATTTTGATGTACATTATTCCTTGCAATGTGCTTGATAACATTTTCTATGCTCCTGGACGGTGTTCAGTGGAAATGTCCTATTTTAAATTATTCCAGTCAATAGGGGGTAAAGTAAAGACAATTGAGGAGCTTTCCGGAAAAAGGGCACATACCGAAAAAACGCGTTGTGAAAAAAACGCATTTGAAGTTTTCATTCTTACTTCCTGTGCACTGATGATGACTTACATCGGAACTGGGGCACTCATATCGACGTTCATACACCCTAGAATGAATAACGACCATTGGTAAAACTTACACTTCTTTCAGTGTTGTGGGATGATTTTTTTAAAATTTTCTGTTATGTGCCCTTTTTCCGGAAATGGACCGGTGGTCATAGGTTTTGGCTTTTAGAGCTGAATTTTCGAGAGTTTAACAAGTTTCTAAACGAAAATAAATAATTCCGATTAATTAATAAATAATAATTTCGGTTACGAACGCGCGGGTGGATCATCTTCGATCATTATTAATGAAAAAGACAGTGAAACACGCTAAAAACTCGAAAAATTCACACTCACGAGAGACCATTGAAAATTGAATTATTATTAATTACAAAAATTCAGAGGTGACCGGTGCAACGTGTTGACAACTACTGCAACCCGATGATATTGTATTGATTAGCAGAACCAGTGCGATGCATCAATAGTGAGGGATCCCTAATCAGTACCCATCACCTGCCTGCCTGCGCGCTATCTTCTCAACGTCGCGGCGACCTAACCCAGAGGCAGATAGATGAAACACGGCTGTGACTCCTGACTTAGCCTCACAAAATTAGGTCTCTTAGCTCCAAAAATTGATCAATTAAGCTGAAACTCGGGACATTGATACATTAGGACGCGAGGAATCCATTTCTGCCATTTCCGGAAAAAGGGCACATACGCGTAAGTGCCCGTTTTCCGGAATGCTCCTCAATTTCTGAGGAAACATTCTGATACACTATTCTCATGTATTTTTTGTCGCTGAGTCTGAATTTCACATTCGCGAAAAGATCTGAGGCGAGACAAAGCCGCCATCTTAAATAAATGGCGGAAATTTGCGTTTTTTGGCCGAAAAACCGAAATGACTTGATTACTATGAAATTTTCGGTAGAAATCGTTATTTTCAAAATTACAGTACATAAAATTTCCAACAAAACAAGCCCAACGTGGCACAGTGGGAAAAGCAGCCGATCTAGCGCCGAAAAAGTCTTGACGCTCGGATTGTTCACTTTCCCATTGGTTTTTCACACTTTACCGGTCTTATAATATCGAGCCACACACTAATGACAAAATTATGCGCCAATTTTTTGTAAAATCAAGAGTTATTGAGCCAAATTTAGTCAAGAGATCAGCTGTAATTTACTTTCCTTGAAACTGTGTTTCGGTTTGTGGTCTTTGATCGGCCAGCAGAGTTAATAAAAATATTTCTCATCGTTACTGCTATTGTCGGTTACTTTCTTCATTATACTATGTAAGTCTCTGATTTTTCACTTTATTTTGGAAAATTTTGTGTGGTTAAGTGTGGGTGTTTCAAGGTAAAGTCATGGATTAGAATGAATGTAATCCGCAAGGTATTACTAAAGATGTTAATGGATGAGATTGACATATTAATTGGCATGTACTCAATATTGAGAGCAAATAAGGAGGAAAAACACGCTTGAAATTTTAAATTTCCTAATAAAACGTTGCACAATGGAACAGTTTTTGCCAATCAATAGATAATCACGTGTCCTAATTTTTTTTCTAATTCCTGTTAGGATAACAGTTAAGTTCCAAACATTTAATTTATCATAAAGTGTTGTCAAACAGGAAATTTAATAGTAGAGATCCGTATTATCGTTTTACCAATACACTTTATTTTCATAAAGGTAAAATGAAGTATTGTCATAACTTGGAAAATTTGGCAATTAATTCCTTCCGCTCAATGCATCTAATGTTTTTCTTCTCAAGACTTAATGTGAAATGAAAACATTTTTAAATGGCAGCAATTGTGAAGTAAAACATGAATAGTTGCACGGAACTAGTTTAAAATTTCATACTGGCGGGCAGGACTAGAATCCGAAAACTCCGCTTCAGAAGCGAGGAACTCTACCAACTAGGCTACAGCTTCGGTTCAAGGTATGTGCTGAAACAGTCGCTGTTAAACACGGGTTGCCTGAGTTGCGCGCGCAGCGCACTGCGCACGCAGCGCACTGCGCACGCACTTCTCCCCATGCGACTCTGTAATCTGACGCCAAACCCAAAGGTACACATTCATTCTGAGCACATTTCCACTTCCTTTTTATCAAATATCTCCTAATGGCGCAAGGATGCGCACCCAAACTAAGGATTATCGTATTCTTGATAGTATGACGAGTAACTGGATATAAATATCTCGGTGGATCCAAGTGGATCTCAAAAGATACAGTCCATGGAAGTTTGAATTTGGTACTATTTTGGAGGCTAACTTTAAAAAATTGCTGTAAGTTAAAAAAGTGGATTTCAGAAAAGAAAATGGTATCCATACTTTTAGAAAGGTCAGCCATTGCCAAAAAAAATTAAAAGTAACTACATGACGCTTTTCAATAAACACAGGAGGCTATTGAATGTAAACATTCAGAGGCGGTCCTCCATCAGCACCGCGCTACCCGGTGCGTTTCTGATGATTATCGCTGATAAGGTCGACCTTATGAAGTAAAACATGACTGATTCTTGATCAGTAGATCCTCAGGAACACGTCCATACCAATTTTGTCCATTTCCATTGATGCCGATTTTCCGACTTTTTCGGCGCTAGATCGGCTGTTTTTCCCACTGTGCGTGGTCAAGATCGGGTGATAGCAAATGCTTTGACAGCATTGCATAGTTTCTTGCAAGTATTGAGGTTTGGCTATTTGTTAACTCTCCCTGTGAAAAAAGAGCGCTTTTAAGGCAATGAATCATTAAATCGTAGATGAGTGCAAGTATGAATGATAAAAGGAGTGCACTTTTGGGTTCTTGACTTTCAAGAACAGCAGTGGAATCTGATAAGAGCGAGAGGTACGTGTGAGCGCAGCTGCTGGGTTCCCTCATTTTCATGGCCCTAGTGCCTAGTGTTCATTGGCCTTAGTGCTCCGGGTAGTTCAATTTGAGTTGAAAACAATGTTGTTCAAATAAACCCATTATTACTACTTCGGCGCTTAATTGTTAGTAAAAATCAGATGAAGGGCTTCAGAATTTTTGTCGCACGAACTCTCACCCTATCCTCTCTTGATAGTTACTATAGCAAATAACATGTGTAAAGGAAGCATGTCTACATTTTATGATGCATTTACAGTTTTACGCCATGTGTAAGTAAAATTGATGACTAAAGTCCTATTAATATCACCGATGTCAATTTATTGCTGCATAGAGTGATTTGGAGACAAACTGAGGCATTTTCATCAATATGCAACAACTGTGTGTCTTACGTAAAATCAAAGTTTGCTCTGCTAATTCTGCAATTGTTGCAGCTACAGCTATCCAAAGGATATTACAAGATGCAGCACAAAAACTCTTGAGAGATTGCAAAGAGGATAAGTTACATCGCTAGAAATAAAATTCGATGAAAGTATTGTCCCAGCAATATCACAAGCAAATTTTCTGAAAAACGGCAAAAAGCCAATTCTGTTTGATCCAAATACTCATGAAACTTTGCACAGCTGAAACCGTATCAGTGTCTTAAGCAGAAGAAGACGCAGACACCATCATAGTTTCAAAAGCCTTAGAAATGGAAAAACAGGGCGAAATTGCTGTTATTGTAGGAGAAGGTGCTTGTACTGCTTACTCTGTCAAGTAACATCAAAAGTTCTTTTCTTCTAAAATCCGGCAAAGGTAAGACTCCACAAAAACTTTTCAACCGAGGCAGCCTTCAGAATGAAGTGAAAACTGAACACATACTGTTCGTTCATGCCATTAGTGGGTGTGACACAACGTCATCACTCTTCAGGCAAGTCAAAGTTAAGTTTTTAGCAACACTGCAGAACAATTAAGCTTTAATAATTAAATCAGCTCAGATAATTAAAAAATCAGCCGCAAAGCCATTATATGGCTCATTATATGGCTACAAGGGTGAGCAGAAGAAAACTTTGGGTGAATTTAGGTATGAAAGCTATGCCCCGACTTTTTTCCACAATTGGCAAAATCTCGCTCCTCTTCCATGTTCAGAGGATGCTGCCACATTTCATGCTCTTCGTGCCTATCATCAAGTACAACAATAGATGGGCATCAAGAAAAAGCGTATGAGGCAGGGCGGAAAAATAGTAGAAATGGCCTCATCCCCATTCATACCTGGAAAAATCCTGCTCCGGGCGAAATTTTAAACAAAGTCTTGTGTAAGTACACTAAAGGATGTTGCGGCGCCTACGGTTGTCATAAATAAGGCCTTCATTGCAGTCTCGTTTGCAGCTATTGTCATGATTCGTGCGAAAATGGTCAAGATGACGAACTTTTAATGGAGGAAAGAGATCATGTGGATGATCCAGAAGACGCTGATTGTTCAGACAATGATGATGAAATTCAGAGATGTGAAGAGATTGACGAGTGGGTAGAACAAGGGGCAATGGGGCAAAGAGGGAGCCATGACACAATGTAAATTTATCATAAAATGTGGAAATAGTACCTTTATGCATGGCATCTGCAGCAGTAAATAGCGAGAGGAGATCCGGTGAAAGTTCGTACAATGCAACATTTTGAAGCTCATCAGATTGTTTTATTAAAAATAATGTGCCAAAATAATTAGAGAGGGCTTATTGAAACAACATCGTTTTCAACTCAAATTGAACTCTTTGTACTGCTGACTGGATTACAGAGGTCGGTGCCCTTAACCTTAACTTACTCAAAAGTTTGACCCACTATATTTTTGACAAGCTAGCAGTTCCTATCTCTTTCGCTTGGTGGTAGTTAATGATGTCACAAGCTACTATACCTGTATGTTGGCACATTAAATTTTTATCCTCCGGAAGAGGCTCCTGCAGAGAACAGCAAAACTAATAACTTGGAGGTCGAAGGCCAACCGGGCCTTGAAAACGAGAGAGGACCCTGCAGCTGTGCTCACACGGACCTCTCGCTCTTATCAGATTCCACTGCTGTTCTTGAAAGTCAAGAACTCATAAGTGCACTCCTTTTATCATTCATACTTGCACTCATCTATGATTTAATGATTCATTGCCTTAAAAGTGCTCTTTCGCGGGGAGAGTTAACAAAAAGCCAAACCTCAATACTGCAAGAAACTATGCGATGCTGTCACAGCATTTGCTATCACCCGATCTTGACCAAGTTGGGCTTGTTTTGTCGGAAATTGTATGTACTGTAATTTTGAAAATAACGATTTCTACCGAAAATTTCATAGTAAACAAGTCATTCGGTTTTTCGGCCAAAAAACGCAAATTTCCGCCATTTATTTAAGATGGCGGCTTTGTCTCGCCTCAGATCTTTTCGCGAATGTGAAATTCAGATTCAGCGACCAAAAATACATGAGAATAGTGTATCAGAAAGTTTCCTCAGAAATTGGCTCTATTTTGCCCCTATATTCGCTCTATTGACTGGACTAAATGTCCAACGAGAAATGTCCATTAAAACAATGTCTACTCTACAATGTTCGATGCACTTTTGGTCCATGGTAAGTAAATATCCATAGAGATAAATATCTAATGGTAGATTTTGTCCATGAATCTAAAAACACATGTCCCAAAGGAGGTGGGAGAAATCAAAAATGACGTAGGTCAAAATGTTGTAGAAGGGTTCCAAAATCTTTTAAAAAAATAAATTATCTTCCAAATTCAAGGAGGGCACACTCAGATAAGACATTCGGTAAACCGCCACTATAAGACAAACCAAACCAGAGTGGAAAACATTGGTAATAATTTCGCAAATTATATAGAGGAAGGTGAACAATGGACATTTACTTGAGAGCTATTGCAAACCGCCTTAAAAACCCAGCTGCGGAACAGATTGATGAAGCTGATGAAGATAGGCCGTGAATCATTGCCATTAAATCATCAGTCAGGTAAAATTTATGAGAACATGGTGGACTTTCTTGCGTACTTACTTTGTCAATAATGGAGCATTTTACTTTCAGGGGCATTTGTGTATAATTGACAAATAGTACATCGGACATTTATTCATTATGGACAACTTTTAAATTGGACATTATATAGTGAATATTGTAGTAATGGGCATTTCTTGTTGGACATTTTAAATAGGACAATTCCACCTGTCACCTCCTAGACTGACCTTGGAATCTCCCAATTTTTGGTTCATTTCATTAATTTGATCACTTTGGGGTAATGTTGGTCACAAATCCATTGGAATGCCATACTTTTGGCTGGCTATGCAATCATTTATCAACTGGGTAAAATAATGATAAGACATTGAGCTAAAAGCCAATTAGCTCAATGACTTCCAAGTTTAAAAATGTTTCACTTCTCTTCTCAAAAAAAACAAGAAAAAAACAAGAAAAAAAAACAAAGTATAGTTCCTGGAAAGTCAATTCATCCTCTAAAATCATGAAATAATTTTTAAAAAAAGGAAGCCAAAGGTCCATTCAGGATACATGGAGAAATTTGAAGGAAATAGGGATAAGCGGTTTGAATGGATGAATCAGGATATACCAGAATAATCAGAGATAATTTCGGATGAGTGCAGATTAATTGTGTCAAATGGGAATAAAAGTGGAATCCCAGTGATTGGGGTACGGACAAAAACATGAGTAACAGCATGGCATCAGTCATGCTATGTATCATACTTTTAGCTTGTGGAAGGGATCTGCATTTTGAGCAAGTAACAGTTCAACAACAGCTAAGTGACCTCCAGCACTGGCTAAGGATAAAGGTGTATGATCGTTGTTGCTAGTTTGTCGGTTGACATCTGCATTTTTGGAGATCAGAAACCTGACCGTGCAAACATGTCCAGCTCGACACGCTTTCATTAATGGCGTTCTTCCACCTTCAGATTCATGTTCCTAAAGGAAAAAGATGGAAAATTATTCACTAACAAGAACTGGATGGACAAATGGTTAAGTATGTTGGTAATTGTTCTTCTCAGGTAAAATTTTTACTCTAAGTAACTATTATCTGAGAATTGTGAGAAGTTGCTCTCACTTATTGCCTGCATGGAATAAAACTTTAGTAGTCAACAGGTCTCTTCACATACCCCATCTTAACTTCGATATGCTGCCAGAGAGAATTCGATGTATAATTGTGCGTTTTATAAAGCTTTGAGAGTTTTTTTGTTACTTTTGATGGCTTTTACAGTTAACCTTTAGGTCTTTTGTTATTCATCGCACAATGTCGACAAAGGCACAAAAATTTTTGGCACTGCCTCTGAGTACTGTTCTGCACGATAAAATAACAAAAGAAGTATAAGGATTGATAGAAAAATAATTTTGTAACACTTTTTTGATTGGGCTAAACGTAAATGACAGCAAAAGTTTCTAGCCCTAAAATTACTGAGGTAATGGTGATTCTATGAAATCTAGGGACGAGATCCACCACCACGCAGCGCTGCCTGGTGGTTGACGTCTTTGAGAAGCAATAGTTGTCGTGATGTACAAGATAATGTAAGAAAATGATCCATAATGCGTAGTAAAAGGACATCAAATTTGAGTAGATTCTTTGTAAATTTACACCTGAAACTACGATAATGGACATCGCCTATTAACTCAATCTGTAAGAGAGTCATTATAGCGCTAATTCTCTCTTACACATTGAGTCATTGGGCGACGTCCATTATTGTAGTTTCACGTATAAATTTACAATTAATCTTACCAACTTTGATGTCATTATACTCAGCATTAATGCTGCAACACCTTAGGGATCAGTTTCTTGCATTAAATTGTAAGTAACAATAATTATTGCTCCTCAAAGACACGAACTGCAAAGCACCGCAACGTAGTGGCGAATCTCTTTCCAAGATCACATAGAATCACCTTACGTACGAGTTGAAGCATTACACCAGACTCACCAAATTGGCTCGATACTGAAGAAGTAAATCAGCCACATCTGTGTGTCCGTTTTCGCAGGCGTAGGTCAGAGCTGTATCACCTGTTTGAGTCTGAGCATGCACATCAGCTCCTGCATCTAAAAGGTACCTGATCAAAACCAAAGATGGAGATTGTAGTTCATCAGGGTAAAATACAAGAAAGAAAAAAATAATAATATGAGAAAGGTGTATGACTACTCAGAATAGCTAGACACACTATGTAAGAAATTTTGAAACTTTGAAGAATCAAATTTGAATTTTCATCAATCCATTCCCAGACCAATCAGGTTTGAATTTTAGAACTATTCCATCAAAAGGTCCTAACACATGACTCACCACCAGTTTTCGCAATTTTTATTTCATGGAAGCATAGTAGTTTTTGCAGGAATACCCTCTAACATTTCAGTAATGTTGGTTGCCTATTTTGACTTTGACCGTTGCGGACCAAGAAGGTAGATTGTTTTCCAGCTTTTTTTTACATGAGTTGATATTGTAGCAACTTCTCAGGTAGAATTTTTCAAAATGAAGTGGGAGTTCGAATTTTGTGTCAAAAGCTTATGAGTAAAACTAATCGATGAAAGATGTGTAAAAATTGCATGCCCTCGTTTCTTCTTGCTCTGGATGTCTACTGACCGGGACTGTTCTTTCATATCGCTGTGACTCATGGACGAATAAAATTCTGCAAGTCAGAAAAAGAGCGCGTCTTTCAACAAATCATGGAAAATCACCTTAACTGGTTTCTACTAATTTCTTATGACCTGAAACGGAAATGCTAGCATACAGTAGTGGGAAAATTGCATTGTTTTTGCAAAATCACAGTGTAAAAGAAAATACAGAAACATCCGGCGTTTTGTAAAAATTCAGAATAAAAATCATATTTTTTTTTTCAATACTCAGGTAAAGCGTGAAATAAAGGATTTGTACAAAGAAAGGGTCAATTAAAAAGAAAAGAAAGCTAAGAAGTTTCTGCATCCCCAGCGCCAGATTACTCTGTTCAACAAAAAAAATGAAAACAAATGTCTCCCAGACGAGATGAGGTGATCCCTCCGTATTTTGAGGTGCTGAATCCGAATATGACCTCCGTTTTATTAATCCATCACCCTCCAATTTTCTAGAAAAGCCGATTTAACTCGGAAAAATGGCCATTTATGGTGTTTTTTACCGACTATTACCCCCTGCAACATTTCTGAGGTCACATTCAGGTTTTTCATCGCAAATTACATGAGAATCGATGTATCACATATGCGGGAAATTTTGTGAATTTCCCTGGAAGCGGAAACAGTTTAGAGGTGTTTTTCCGACTATTACCCCCTGCAACATTTCTGAGGTCACATTCAGGTTTTTCATCGCAAATTACATGAGAATCGATGTATCACATATGCGGGAAATTTTGTGAATTTCCCCGGAAGCGGAAACAGTTTAGAAAAGCTTTTAGCCCAGAGAAATCGGACCTTCTAGAAAAAAGGGGGGGAGGGTTGTCAGAGGTTAGTGAAGGTCTAAATCCGGTTCAATGGTTCTTAATACAGCAGGAGAAACCTAAAGAAGATTTCGGAAAATTTCTAAAACTCCCTAGATCAGGAAAATTATCGCAAAAATACCTGAAATGAGCATTTACCGAGGAAAAGCGACTTTTCCGGGAAAATGATGGTTGGTAGGAAAAATCTGAGATCATTTAAGAATTCCGCAGATCAAAATACATAAGAATCGATGTATCACACATCAGAAACGTCTGTAGAACATATTTTTAATACACTTTTGAGTCCGGGCAAGCTTTCACACTATTTTCAGCTTGGAAAAATCAGCTTAACCGGAACTGGAAGGTGATAAAAAAACCGAAGCTATATTCGGATTAAGTAGCTCAAAATACATAAAAATCACTCTACCATGGGTCAAGGAAAATTTATAAAAATAAAGAGTTAAGAAAGATAAAAGACAAATATACATCAAATTTGCTCTTTATCCCAGGAAAGGGTCGCTTTTCCAGAAATCTGAGAGGTGAGTGGGAAAAATGAGGGCCATTTTCGGACTTAGTCGCTCAAAATACATAAAAAAAGACATACCTCGTAGCTGAAAAAAAATTTGCCTACATTTAGCGGTGGAACACCATCGGAAAAACACTAAAGGCAATTTTTCCGAGTAAAATCGGCTTTTCCAAAAAATTGGAGGGTGATGGAAAAAAATGGGGGTCACATTCCGATTCAGCGCCTCAAAATAAAAAGGAGCACCTAATCTCGTCCAGGAGACACTTTTTTCATTTTTGTTTGTTGAATAGTGGTACTTTGGAACTACTCTCAAGGAGGCATTTTTTTCATATTTGTTTGTTGAATAGTGGTACTTTGGAACTACTCTCAAGGAGAAACCCATAGGACGAAAAGTTGTCCGAGTGTCTAGATAAAACCCTTCACAACCTTTGGAGCTTTGTGAGTAAGTCTAGATCCTTATGCAGTTTTCTAATTTCATTCTTGTCGGAAACCTTTTGTGTGCAGCCTATCTTGTGTGAACAATGAAGAAAAAAACCCTTACTTAACAAGGTGTATGTGGCCTTCTTGCGCTGCTTCCATTAAAGGAGTTGAGGCTCCTAGTTCTAACGCAGCACCATTTTTAATCAAGTAGTCAGCCACCTCTAAAAACCCTCCGCAACAGGCCAAGGTGAGAGCTGTTTCTTGAGTTTCTTCGGTTTGAGCATTAATGTTAGCACCTTTAAAACATATAGCATAACAATTTATAATTCAGAATCATGAGTAAAAAGTTATTAACATGATGACTGCCACATTGTTTGATTCGACCGGTCTCTATTTTTCCCACCAAAAACATTTCCATGTGAAGATGAACCGCCAAGCTAAGAATATAAATAAACATTCGTCGCCCATAATGCAGTGATATTCCACTAAATAGAAGCCGAGTAAATTTCATTAATATTAATTTAAAGTTTCTCCTCCCTTTAACATTTTTATCGGAAAACCAAAAATATAGAAGAAAAAATAATTTAAAAACATCTGTACAAATTTATCAATGCTTTTGTAGCATTGTACTGCAAAAAACTGATGAATTAAAATTATTTTTTTAAGTCTAAATTTTGTGTTTTCCCAAAAACAATGTTGAAGAGAGGAGAAACTTAAGATCAATATTAATGAGATTTGCTTGGCGTCTAATTTGTGGGATATCTCTGCATTTTGGGCAAGGAATGTTTATATTTTTAGTTTGGCAGTTCATCTTTACATAGAAATTTTTTTGGTGGGATATCATGGGGATTTTCTATTAAGTTCACAGATAAATAAAGAGATAATATCGTCCCGATTTTTGAGGATAATTTAATTAATTGAAGATAGTTTTGAAGCAAATTTTTATTTCCAACTAGCAGGAAACCTGTGCTATGCACAGGAAAACCCCACCATCAGCAATCACTGTGATAAGTGATTAGTTACTAATTGTGTTTCTGAATTATTATCTACTATTTCAAAATTGGCGAGACGCACTGGTTTGATAAAAATGCAGAGATTAGTAGTATGCTGCTATTTTGGTCTGTTCTGCAGTAAGCTCATATGATAATTATAATAATCAAAAATACTCTATCAAAAGTTGGTTATTTTCATAAAGATTTGTTACTTTTGTCAGCTCAATGTTTAATTGAAGTTAACTGGTGAGTTTCAGCCGTGAAAATTACGGGATTTAACCAGCGGTTTTGTTTAATTCTCAGCAATGGCGGGTTTGTCATCTACATCGCAGAGAAAACGTGCTTTATCCAGGGATTTTGTAAAACAAATTAGAAATTACACGATAATCACCACGATATCACGGCAAACACGTCGTGTTCCTGGCGAATTTCTAAGATTATTATAATTGCACGTTATTCACATCAATATCGTGGCATACACGCGAATTTCTGACTCAATTAAGACTACGCAATGTGCGCATAAAACTCATAAACATCTGTTACTTGGGATGGGCGAAAACGTATGATTTTCCTTCAATTTTGTACGATACCACATACCCACTTCAATAGTCAAATAGTTGCTCGCTTCATTTCTGCTTGTTAAAAGTGACGAATTGGAGGAATCCAATCTCAATTTCACGAGAACTATGGGATGTAACCATCGGTTTCCTTGTATCAGATTTAATGTTTTGAAATTTAAAAAAAAAGAAAAAAGAAAAAGAGCATACGATGATCTAAAATTTTGGAAGTATGACTCATGTGTTTCGGTCAACTATGATAGTGTGACGCGACTCTCTTCCGAGCACAAGAAGAGAGGGGAGAGAAGACAGCAGAGCGCAGGCGCGACTGCAGAGAGAGGGGGAAGGGAGACGCGTCGCTAACCGCTACTCAAGCGACGAGGCGGCTGGTCAGTCTTAAAAGGACCAGCCGGCGTGAAAGACCACCACAATTTTCATTATATATCGCAGGGCTCGCTGATTTGAGTAGAAGGTGTTCGAATCCAAATCCAAGTCTTCCACTGATTTTCCCTATTCCCATTTGACACTCCTCCTAACTATTCGTTCCCCGGTCGGTGCCAACGGCGACGACTAGTTCGGATAGTTAGAGTGGAGGACGTGTCTGATCAGTTACGATCTCAACGAGGTCGCGGGTAAAAAAAACAGAAAGCAGGTGAAGAATGTCGAAGCGATGTTCTAGTTTTGCTCCGCTATCAGCACCGCGTCTGCAGGCGCAATGTGACCGAGCCGTCATCACAGTATAGAACGCCTTCAATCTAGCAAGCAGCAATGTGGACATCCCCCGTGGTGAAATAGTTGTATCAAGAGCGCCTTCCACGATTGGAGTCAAATATTGATGAACTGCGCTCGAAAACCCCGTTTCTCCTCCAATTGAAACGTTGCACACCGTCTTTATGTTCCATTTTGGTTCATTTATTTTACTTTTGAAGCCAAACAACAGCTTCTCTTAAAATTTTCCGAGAATTTGCCTAAATCATTTCAAAACAGAAGATAAAAGTAACAAAAAGTAACCCCAGGCAACGTGAAGACTAAATCACAACAATTTTTTTACTTTCGGACTTGAGCAGTTAAACTTTTGCAAAAAAAGGGGGGGGGGGAAACAGAAAACGAAAGGTTCCGCAAAGCATATTTTTCACTAATCTTTTGCAAAAAAAAAACGAAAGAAAACAATAGGATCCAATATCTCATACTTTCGCAAAGAAGACCAATGCCATAAAATAAAGAGTCTATACCAATGCACAGACAGATTTTCCAGATTTTCACATCCCTGAGAGAGTAGCCCGGCAACGGATACACGAGTCGGAGCTCGAAAAAATCATGGCGCGGCGATTCCAACAGCGCGACGCCGAACTCGTTCCATCTTCCCCGCACTCGTTGGACGCCAAACTCCTTCTATCTTCCTCGCACCCGTTGCGCGTACCAGAGGAACACACGTAAAATTTATCAGCTGTCTTCCAGCGCGAAAGGCGGAAAATGCTGCATCTCGCTCGCATCCATTGTCCTTACGGAAAAATCGACCCACGCGGACGGCGATATCCCGCGAACCGGCGGGCGGATCGCAAAATCCTCCCTTTTCCGGCGCCTCGGGGTAGAGAGAGATCCCAGTGCGGAATCTCAGGGTCATACGACCTCCCGTTCACGAGATCTGCTGATACGTGAGTGAAAGAGTGAGTGAGTGAGTCAATCAACGTGAAGTCTGCTATATTAGTATAGATTGAAGAGACGTAGGAAAACTTTACAAATGGTTGATAGGTTTTTGATTGGCACTGAAAGTTATGTAAAAAACTAGTCGTGATTAGCTCGCTTTGCGAGCTGACACGTCTAGCCGGGGAGTGCCCCTGGACCCCAGTTCTACGCTTCGCGACGAACTTGCGACTCGCTCCGCGAGCCGCCAACGCCCCGCACAGTTTTTAACATTGATGAGGAGACAACATCTATGTCCACGGTGCGTTTTAAACAATTTTAATGCGGTCAACATACCACCCGCGATTTTTTTGCGGAAATGTCAACTAGAAGGCCGTAAACGTAACTTCCTACTTTCCTACGTAAACTTCTTCAGTAGGTCCTATTGAACAACATACCAAAAGTTTACCACGGTTCGCTCCCGGAACACCCCCCCAAATTGCCTAAATTTCAAAATGGCGGCCATAATAAGGCCTCTGGGAGTTCGATTTTTTTAAAAATACGCATACAGTGTCATGTGAGGTGTCAAATTCCTATGTAATTTTGGTCGTAGATTTCAAATATGAAGTAAAAAAAGTCCCTTGGTCAAAAGGGGGTACCCCAAATCCAAGATGGCAGCCAATTTTGAAAGTCAAGAGGGTGGATTTTTAAAAAGTTCGCGTGATAAGGCAAGTGAGGTATCATTTCTTATGTAATTTTGGTCGTAGATTTCATTTATGAAGTCATAAAAGCCCTCAAGTCAAAGGGATTGCTCCAAATGCAAAGATGGCGGCCAGCTTTGAAAGGCAGGAGGGTGAATTTTTGAAATGTTTACGTGACATCCCTAGTAAAATAGAATCAACCTGACGTCAGGGTATGTTTCATAAACTACCCTGAGTCAGATTGATATCAGCCTGAATTAGTCTGACTCAGGGTAGTTTATGGAACGTCAGGTTGATTCTATTTTACTAGGGATGTCACGTAAACATTTCAAAAATTCACCCTCCTGCCTTTCAAAGCTGGCCGCCATCTTTGCATTTGGAGCAATCCCTTTGACTTGAGGGCTTTTATGACTTCATAAATGAAATCTACGACCAAAATTACATAAGAAATGATACCTCACTTGCCTTATCACGCGAACTTTTTAAAAATCCACCCTCTTGACTTTCAAAATTGGCTGCCATCTTGGATTTGGGGTACCCCCTTTTGACCAAGGGACTTTTTTTACTTCATATTTGAAATCTACGACCAAAATTACAGAGGAATTTGACACCTCACATGACACTGTATGCGTATTTTTAAAAAAATCGAACTCCCAGAGGCCTTATTATGGCCGCCATTTTGAAATTTAGGCAATTTGGGGGGGTGTTCCGGGAGCGAACCGTGGTAAACTTTTGGTATGTTGTTCAATAGGACCTACTGAAGAAGTTTACGTAGGAAAAGTTTGTTAAGCAATTTGTTCCGGGTTAACCCTCTTTTTTTCGGATTTCTCCTTGACTAACCCCCCAAAAACCCAAAAGTCGTGGATTTAAGGATATGAATTTTGGGCAATATGCACGAATAGCTATCTACTGGCACTTGATTGACTCAAAATGTATAGGATATGCATTTACGAACTACAAAAACAGCCTAACTTGACTTTTTCAGCGCCTTGACCCGAAATTCCCGCCAAAAAAGCGAAAAATCGCATTTTCTCAAAAACGGCCCCATCACAGATTTCGCGGTTTGTTGTTCCTCAATCAGTAGGCCTTCTAGTTGACATTTCCGCAAAAAAGTCGCGGGTGGTATGTTGACCGCATTAAAATTATTTAAAACGCACCGTGTGTCTTAATCTTCTTTTTCACCAAGTTTTACAGAAATTGATGTTCTAAGAGTCCGGACCGCGTTTTCGTGCGGGGCCGCCATCTTGGATTTGGAAATGTTGAAAATCTGACCAAAAATGCGAGTTTTCCGTCGAAATACATCTCCTAATACCGAATTTCACAAAAATCGATGGATCGGAAGCCGAGATAACAATTTAGACCACGTTCGCCATTTTTGATTTTTGAATTTTGAAAATCGGACCTAAAATTCTAATTTCCCGTC